TGCGTGCAGTACAGGAAGAGAAGAGGGTGGTGGTGAGAACCATATTCAAGTGAGGGGCAGAGGAGAGACCTACAAGTAAGACTCAAAAAGAGCAGCCTGCAATAGAAGTCCAGGAGAATGTGGAAGGGAAATGTATTTCAAGGAGGAAGGAGCAGCCAAAGGTGTTAAATGTTGCTTAGGTAGAAAGGAACACCAGCACAGAAAACTATGGGACAAAGAGAATATTTTCAAACATTCAAGCAATGTCTGTGTGTGTTGTACTCTACAAATCATGTCCCCTGTGGTCTTCCTTCTTGCACTGAATCAGTGGTGTGTGTTGCTTCAGAAGGAGGCAGGGGATGCCTTCCAGAATCAGGAGGTCGGTGCTCAGTTTTGACCTGCACACACATCAGGCTTTCTCAAGCCCTATTGAGACAGTGGTCTTGGAAGCTAAACATTCTTGGGAAAGAAAAGATTTTTCTAATTTAGAATTTTAGAAATTCTAATCTTAGAATTTCTAAAATTCTAAGTAAAGAATTTTCTAATTCTACAGGCAGCTTCCCTTGGAATCTGAAGACCAAGGTTTGGGACTCTGAGCACAGATCACTCTGCACCAAAGTATAGACAGGATGGAGGCTATGACAAGGGCTAGTTGCTACCCTGTGGAAGATGGGTGGAGGGGAGGAGGGAGGGAGGGCAGGGTGCCAGTCTTAGTGCCCCTGACTACCTCCTCCCCCAGCCTAAATGACCCTCTAGGTTTCTAGATGCTTCTTTGGTCTTTAACCACCCATTGCCCTTTGCTCTCTAGGTCACTGGTGCTCAAACCCTGTGTGACCAAGGGTTGCACCAGAATCACCTAGAATCCTTGTTAAAATACATAATTCTAGCCACTCTAGGACCTCAGAATGAGAACTTCTACAGGTGACTGAGAATCTGTATGTTTTGCAAGGTCCCTGCCATAATTCTGGTAAGAGTCAGAGTGGAAAGGACTGGTGTGAGTCTTCCTCTTGGTCCCTCACCTGACTATCAAAGACCTGGGGTTTCCCCAGACTTGCAGGAGCTGAGCCCCAGAAACTTGTCTCCCCTACCCTGCTCTGTTTTTCTCTGTAGCTTTACTGCCGGCTAATAGCCCATTTACTCCTCTTTTCTCTATCATTAACTGCATAGCAATAGGCACATAATGTGTACTCAGTGATGATTTGCTGGATGAATGGATGGATGGATGGACGGGTAGGTGGGTGGATGGACAGATGGAGAATCAAAGAGCCGGGAAGCTTTCTACTGAAGGATGTATGTT